TGTTAGGGAGTCAGTGGCAGTGGGTTTGGTTGGGTTTGGGGTTTGTGGTTTAGTGGTTCTGCTTGTCATAAAAGTCATATGTAAATTAATGCATATTTTTCCACTGTAAGAAATTTTCCTTTAGCCTTAATAGAGTTAGCATTTGTCAGTTAACAACAACATGAAAAGCACACATAAAAATACCCAAATTTTCTTTATACCCACAGATGTTTCTTGTGATTTATCCAGAAGGAACAAGACTTGATATGGAACTAACCAAAGTTCTTTCAGCTAGTCAAGCATTTGCTGCTCAAGAAGGCAAGTAAAAATATGACTATATTTATAAATTTAAAGACTATGGTCTTCTCTGTTCTTTCTCTGGAGATGATCTAGGCATCTCTAGTTTTACCGTGCTTCACTTGATTACAGTTTGCAGAAATTTTGTTCTTTACAAACTGAATATTTGTGGCAACCCTACCTCAAGCATCTCTGTTAGTGCCATTTTCCAACAGTGCTCACTTTATGTCTCCGTGTCACATTTTGACAATCCTCACAGTAGTTCACACTTCTACATAATACTATTGTACACTTAACACACTGTATCAGGATGTACGCATGACTTGTATATGCACTCAGAAATCAAAATAGTCACGTGAATCACTTAATCGGGATAATCATGTTATTGCAGTTATCAATGTATGTCTGCATTTATGTTTTGTGACAGTTTTTTGAATATATGTATCATCGCATGGGTCATGGGCTTCTTAATTCATTTACATATTTTAATATATGTCAGAGATCTTCAACATAAGTCTGCTGGTGTATGTATATATTCTTGTGCTTTGGTACATAAAACCTTTCCTATGCACATGATTATGTCACTAGAACATGTTTCATTTTCAAACTGATGTTAGAGGTATACATAATGAGGGGTGGGGTATGCATAGTATGAGGGGAGTTCAATAAGTTTATGGGGAAATTCTATGATCTTTAATTCCATTTTTACAAGCTTTTAAATGCCCCATTTTTATGTGTGCACGTACCCCTGCCTCATGAGTATACTTAATCATATTTAAAAATTGAATTCAAAGGTATGTGAAGAATCCTATTAGAGACTACTACAGAAAGTTGGTTCATAGTACATGGAAGTTATTAATGTTTCTAACACTGGGAATATTCTTAAATATTATCCATGTTCCAGAAAATTGAATAACTGATACCCATAAGCTTTAACCAAATTGGAAAATAAACACAAAACAGTGACCATAGGGCTGCATTTTAAGTATCGTTCAAAACAGCAGTTACGCTGTACTCTTAGAGCTGTCATTGCAGATTGAAGATTGTGAATTAATGTGTAACCTCCAGGTGTCCATGAGCAGACACTCCTGGAGAAAGGGCCTTGCTCCTGATATTTGCCAGGGTCTGTGATGCAGGCTTGCGCTGAGCCCAGATTGAGTTGGGACAATGGGTTTGGTTTGAGCATGGTAGAGCTGTCTAATAGAGCTTGTCTGCAGTAATGGCATTATTCTAGGTCTGCTCTATTCAACCCATATTTGGCATGTGAACATTCAGAATGTGGCTTTTGCCAACACCAGAAGAAATGAATTATTAATTTAAATGCCACATGTCTGTGAGTTACAAAATGGATAGAGAGAAATTCTCACAAGATCCTTTAAAAGCAATGACAGATGCATATGAAATAACTTAGAATGATAAGCATTTTTGTAGTATTAAATTAAAAGTGGCGCGGAGGGGTGAAGGGCCAGCCCCCACCCACTGCTACTACTATGACTACTACTCGGATTTAGTAATGCACAATTGTACGGTTGAGATATATAAGTATTATCTTAAAGTCATCGAGAGCATGAGAGATATTACAATAATGCAGTCAGACACATTACATTGTAGCATTGCTCACCTCAGTCCAGCTTGGTGGTCCACGTGGAGAGAGGGAGAAGGGGAGGAGGGCAAGGGAATAGGGGAGAGGGGGAAGAGAGAGGAGCCAGAGAGAGTCAGAGAGGTCCCAGAGGTCAGAGCGCTCTATATTGCTGACCCACACCTATATACCTTTTGGGGAAATGCCAGCTCACTAATTACAGGTAGAGACATACATCACAGGGACAGGCTGCACTATTGGTTACACAGCAATGAGGGGGTGGGCTCTGGGTCTCCATAGGAACTATTATCTGTAGGGTGAAAACTCCGCCTACAGGAGCCTGTCCATTGCCCCCAGCAGCAGGGAGCAGGCCCACCCCTGTGGTGGGATGAGACAGCAGTCTGGCAGCAAGGATCTTACCTCCCCCCGCACATTTTTAACTTTGTAATTTGTTTATCTTATTACAGATATGCGAACCCAGTAGCCAGGATACTCAGGAATAAGAGGGCTCGTTTAATTTTCTTTCCGTTCTGTCAACCCCTCTTGCTCTATCACCAGGGTGGCCAGGCCTGTTGTTCTTTAGCATAATGTTACCTTTGTTGCCCTTTGCCATTAAAAATAAAACAAAAACCAACCCTCTTTCTCAAATCCTTATCTTCTTACTGCTGTCATATCTTTGTTCCCATAATAGCAAAGCCCTCTGAATGCATGGGCTACCTTTTGGGCCGCACTTTCTCCTTTCTCATTCATTCTCAGTTCCTTGGGATCTGCTAGGGAATTCTGAATACTGTTTAAATGGAAGTATCTCCCTCCATCTTGCAGTGCTGCTCGCTCCCCTCTCTGGCAGTTCTTCCTTAGTTTCCTTTTTCATTTGTTTGACCTCCTCTCTGATCCACTCTTTTCTAAATAAAGTCTTTTATGTTGTCTCTAATATCTTTCATCTTCACCTTAAATGTTTTTCTTTGTGGTCTTCATCAAATGTTATGGCTCTAACCACCGTTTATTTGACTTCTAATGACACAAAAAAGATTTTTATTATTTATACCTCTGACGAACCCTAATCTGTATATATAGTCCCCCTATAAAGAATTTCATTTGTCTGGCCATAAGCATATCTCAAACACAGTATGTTGAAGATGCACTTTCTACATATTTCACACATTTCCTAGTTGGTAACGCTATAATCCACCCAAAGCCTAAGAGTCATCCTAAACTCTTTCCTTTTAATCATCCATGCATCTAATAAATCAATAAAACCCGACTTAACTCTCTCCAGGTCCACAATTACTGCAATGTTTAAAATGGTATCACTTTTTGGTTTGAATTTTCTATGTAAGAACCTAACTGATTACAAATAGTAACAATTATTTTTCACAATTCTGCACTTTGGACCAAACTCAGTGGGAATGGCTCGTCTCTTTCATATGATCAACATTATTCTCTTGTGTTACATTTGGCTGGGAGCTTGGCACTGACTGTGTGTGTGTGTGTGTGTGTGTGTGTGTGTGTGTGTGTGTAGAGAGAAATTTATATCAAGAACATGACTCATACAGTTGTAGAAGTGGACACTAAGAGACCCCCCAGGCTGCTGGTGGTTTGCAGAAGTGAATGAATGCAAGTTTAACAGGTTATGGTTGTAACTGGAGAAAGTATTGAATTCAAGGTCAGCAGGTGAGGTGGCAGGCCACTCCACTGGCTCAAAGAACTGGAGGTGGAAGAGCCAAGTGCAGGATCCAGACACAACAAAAAGCGCAGCAGTTGATTACATTGTGATAGGTCACATCATGAAGTGAAGGGGAAGGCCAGCCCCCCAAGACTAATTGCGGGTTCGATTGGTACAATTGTGCAGCGATAATAAGTAAAGATTACAGTAAAGTCATAGATAATAAGAAATATATAAAAGAGAGTGAAGTAATGGAGTCAGACTCATTTCATGGCAGCATGCTCACCTGAGCTCCTCTTGGGTGGTACAGGGCAGGAGAGAGAGATTTACTGCTAACTATGGCTTATATCTCTTTGGGAGTGTGCGTGGCTCCTAATTATAGGTAAAGACATACATCACTGGAAGGGATTGTGCAATAGGCAATACAAGCAATAGGAAGGGGATATACAGTGGGCATAGGTGTAACAGGAAGGGGATGAGCTACAGGTGTACATGTGACAAGCAGGGTGGACCATAGATTCATGATGGTGGCCGAACCTTGGTTACCCTTGAGTGGGTTTGATCTCCCTGGGCTCTCGCTCAGAGAAACAAATCTACAACTGTCCTTATCAGAAGGGAGTAGGCCCTACTTAGTGTGGGACAGACCATACAGTCTGATTGCTCTAGATGGCTGATAACCCTTAGGGAGAATAACCCCTGACCTGCTTCTGTTAACCTCCAAGTGTATAGTCATTTACACAGTGTAGCAAGCAGCTAAGTTTGGCATATATTTGGGGGAGACAACTTGGGAGAAATCTTTCTGTTTCCCACAATGAAGGATTACTAATCCTTAGCTGCCAAACTACTGAGAATCCTGGCCCAACCAAGTTGACCCAAAATTATCTACTACAAAGAGCTAACCGAAGTAGACAGCAATGTGTCTAGCAAGCGAGTGCATTCCTGCTTTTCCCTTTAGAGGGCGATCAGGTCACCTTCTTGGTCTGTAGCATCATGTGGTTTGACTATGAAAAATGTTTAATAGCTTTAAAAGCCTTGAGGCTATTTTCATATAAACTTTCAGTAAAACAGATGTTATTTTTGTTTACTTCTCCTGCCTCTTCACATTTTTTTCAGCTGCTCTTTTGTGAATTTCTGTTTCTCTCACGGTATGGTCTAAACCAGCGGTTCTTCACCTGTGGGTCGCTACCCTTTTGGGGGTCAAATGACCTTTTCACAGGGGTCACCTAAGACCATGGGAAAACACATAATTATTTCGCAATATATAATTACATATTGTTTTGTAATTAATCATTATGCTTTAATTATGTTTAATTATGTTCAATTTGTAACACTGAAAATACATCATACCTATCAGATATTTACATTACAATTCATAACAGTAGCAAAATTACAGTTACAAAGTAGCAATGAAAATAATTTTATGGTTGGGGGTCACCACAACATGTGGAACTATATTAAAAGGTCATGGCATTAGGAGGGTTGAGAACCAGTGGTCTAAACTCTCAATCGGTGGTTCTCAAGTTAGTGTACCTGTTGCATCTGTACTGCGGGAGAATGTACTTGAAAGACAAATTCTTCTAATCCAGCCCACATCTGTTGGGCTTGGAATTTTAGGGGGTGGACTCAGCAGTTGAATTCACAAGCCTTCCAAATGATTCTGGAGCATTCTAGAACTTGAAAACCACAGGTGTAAATGCACGTATAAGTTCTCATGTCCCCAGCAGGTTACCAAAATCAGATCCACTGTCATCAAGTCAGTACCTAACTCACAGCAGCTCT